TTAAGGGCATTAAGAGAACCGAGGGAGATAGCAGTGGTACATGTGAAAGGACACCAGAAGGGATTAGGTTACCGAACCAGAGGAAATAATCTAGCAGATAAAGAAGCCCGGGAAGCAGCCTTGAGGACTCAGGTCACTAAAATGAATGTACTACAGGAGGAAGAAAGACGAGAGGAAGGAGAAAAGAAGTTTACCCCTGAGGAACAAGAAAAACTGGTAAAAATAGGGGCTAAGTTAGAACAAGGAAAATGGACACTGCCAGAGAGGCGAGAGATGTTGCCAAAAGCCTATGCTAGGCAAATATTGGTTCATTTGCATGCACAAACGCATTGGGGTACAAAGGCGTTAAGTGAACATTTCCTCAAACAATTTGGCTGCATTGGGATTTTTGAAATAGCAAAGCAAATTACACAAGGTTGCTTAACTTGTCAGAAGATAAATGAGAGAGTGTTCCGACAAGCAGCCATGGGAGGACGGAAGACAGCTTACAGGCCTTTCGAGAGAGTACAAGTTGATTTCACTGAATTACCCAGGGTAGGGAGGATAAAATATCTGTTGGTAATAATGGATCATTTAACACAATGGGTAGAAGCTTATCCTGTAGCACGAGCTACAGCACAAATGGTGGTAAAAATTTTATTAGAACACTTGGTACCTAGATATGGGATAATCCAGTACATTGATTCTGATCAGGGCACACACTTTACTTCTAAAATTATAACGTTATTATGTCAATCGTTAGGTATTCAGTGGGAATACCATACTCCGTGGCACCCACGGGGCTCAGGGTAAGTAGAGAGAGTGAATCAAGCAGTGGAACAGCAATTGGCCGGGTTGGTGATCGAAACACAGATGCCCTGGGCAAGATGCTTGCCGTTGGCACATTTGAATATGGGAACTAAACCATGCAGCGAGACTGGACTATCGCCACATGAAATGTTATATGGCATGCCTTACTCTCAGGGGATGCCACTGGGGACTTATCTCCCCTCTGGGAAGGACCTTTTCTTGTTTTATTAACTACAGAAACAGCTGTGAGAACTGCTGAGAAAGGATGGACACATGTATTGCGAGTAAAAGGGTCCAATGAAGGAGTGGAAAGTAACATCTGAACCAGGAGAAATTAAACCAACCATCAGACGAACTTGAAGCATCAAAGAGTATAAGCTAAGTTGCTGTGGGAATTTTATTGTGATTACTCCTGTAAAATTGGTAAACAGAGAGACTCCTGAATGGATACCTAATAGGGGAAAATATCCCCTAGGGATAACAATAAGTTGTCCGCAGTACACACGGGCTTTTTGGGACATAGCATACTCATTAGAAAAGGAGCAATTTTTAAGCTCATTTGGGTGCAGAAAAGGACAACCCTTAAGATTAAGGAAGAGGGCAAGACCGGATAGGGAACCGGTGCTGCGGCTTGGAAGGTCTGCCAAGGGTTGCAACCCCTTCGGGCTGTGACTGCCGATCACTGTGGCCCTTACCGGACCTCTTCTAGTCCTACTTGGGGTGAGTTTCTTAACCCAGACCATGGTCTATGACTGTAAAGACCAGAAGATAGGAAGCTGCATTTATAGCCAAACCCAGTCCAGTTTAAGCAATACAGCGAGACATCAATTGCGGGATGGTCCTGTGTATGCTGGGATACTGCAAGCTGGGGATATGATTATCAATGTTGGAACTTGAAAGCTTCAATCGCAAGGGTAACATGTTCTATGCAGAAAAGGCACCAGGACTGTATGCTATGATCCAAAAGAACTCCCTTATCAATATTGGGTAGAAATGAAGACAAATTCAGAAGTAGGTAGATTAATTGGAACAAGTGAGGTCATAGACTGTTCATTTTATCATGAAAGAAACAGGAGTGAACATGAACTTCCCACAGTTGCTAAAAATCTATTTCTAAATCTTGATAACTAATTGTTATGAGAACTGCTTTGTATCTGTGGAAATTTAATCTTAGTAATTGTTGTTTAGAAATTGATGATGAAGGAAAAGCTGTAAATGAGCCTGTAAAAGAAATGAAAATTGCACATGTCGGGATAGTTGTATTGAGGATATGTGGGTGATTGTTATTAATTCCATGTTTAGTGCCTCGTTAATAGACTAATACACTCAGTTATACAAGGAATGCAAATATCTGCGGCACCTGTTGACCCAGAACCGGGGAAAGAGAAAACGCATTCACTGGTTATAATGAAAGAAGATCCAAAATTGATACCAATTCGGAAGGTGTTAACTCGATTGGAAATGAAAAACACGAATCAATACTATGGAAAAAGAAAATGGGGGTTTGTTATATATGTCCATCTGATTCGTGTTAATATGGAACAGTGCTAGGGCCGCATGATGACATACCCTTGTATAACCACAAGCCTAAGAAGGGCAGAGAGGTTAATGTATGTAGTTCTTCCCTTGCCCCCCCCCCCCAGCTGCCTCCTCACAGGGGGAGGGGGGGCTGACTGGGCACCGGGCAGCATCGGCCCCAGCTGCCTCCTCACGGGGGGTAGGGGGGCTGGCCCTGTCCCCTGCCGGGCACCTCAGCACAACCGGTTAAACCGGCT